AGCCTTCTCTCCCTGCTCCCAGGAGGTTTCAGCTCCCTTGTCTGGCTCAGAGAACCTTAAATTAATCACCCACTCAAAGTGCTGCCATCAGCCCAAGAATAATCATCTCTTAAAACACTCCTGGCTCCAACATTCTGAGAATAGAGGCTTCTGCAGCAATAGGGGTTGAAGTCAGACATTCAGCAGGGCTTCTTTCTCAACGAAAAGAGCGAGTGTGCTATGGAGTGGGGTGACTGACCTTGGGAGGTCTAACCTGCTCCAGTGACCCCAAAGTAGAACTCAGGGAGGAGGGAGCAAAGGGCGTAAGGGCAGGGAGAGGGCTAGAAGACTGGCAGGACGGGTCCCTCCTCTCACCCCTTCTTACAAAGACCAAACAAAAGGGCAAAAGGACTGCGGCTGGAAAACAGCAGCAGGAAACATCTGGGTCACACTCCAAGACTTTCCCCATTACAAGGCCAAGGTCTTGGAGCATCAGTCTTCCCTATCAGCTGGGGTGTGGGAAAATAGTATCCAAAGTCCTGATCTGGGATGCTGAAGGCCTGGGTTCCTGGCCCAATTCTACCTCGGACCCGCCAGGTATGACCTCAGCCAAGTGTCTGCCCCTTTCTGTTCCACCAGCCCACTGCAGGGCTAGACAGGATCTCCGAGGGCCGTTCAGGACAAGCAAAGGCCAGCAAAGTTCTAGAGTCAGCCACCCTGCTCCCACATGGTCCAAGGCTGCTCTCCAAGGGATGCATGAACACACAGACCCGGAAGGGCAGCCTTGCAGTGGGGATGGGTGGAGGTAACACGCTCAAGGAATGGGGCCCACTCTGTTCCGCCCCAGAGGTCCAGGCTGGGCCCACAGGCCCGGGTGTGCCTCCGTGATGTCAGTGAAGAGGTGAGAGCAGCTGTGCATTAGATTTCTTTTCATTGGAGGTGTGCCGCTTGCACCTTTTTGACACTCACGGACGTGTGTGTCCAAGCTGCAGTGAGTACGTGCATGAGACAGACTGACAGGGCTGTAGCAGGGATACACATGTGTGCAAAGCCATGCACAGCAGAAGTGTGATTGCATTGGGTGAAGTTGGGCAGTTTCCACTCAACTCCACAAAATCCCGCCACTGCCCACCTCCTGCTGCCTGTGTGCTGGGTGCTGGGGACAGAGGCCTGGACGCACAGGAGGAGCCTGGGGCCGGGGCACAGCTGAAGCTGAGGTCCAGGAGAAAGACCGCTACAGGTCAGACCCGGTTCTTGGCCGTAGCTCCTCCGTTCTCACCGGATGGGCGACCTCTCCTGAGGCTGTTTCCTCGCCTGCCTCGCCCCCGGTCGAAAGACACAGGAGAGTAGTTTATAGAGAGCACTCAGCACGGGCTCAGCACAGGGCTGACGTGCCTCACGTGACCCGAAATTGCAGTTCAACCCCAAGACCCCACCCAGGCGGCCACAGGGTCCTGGCCAGGGAGTCAGGAGTCTTCGGGTCTGGTGCTGGTCTGCCATGGATTTACTATGCAACTTTGGTCCCCTGAGCATCAGTTTTCTCATAAGCAAAGTGGGGCTATCAAATATGAGGACCTGCTGGGCAGGGACACCTGCCCGCGGTACCCTTTGCTGGGACTGTTTCTGATCCTGGTGACATTCTTCTTCAGATGGGGGCCCCCTCTCCTGGGGAAGCTGGGTGGGGGCCGGGGTGAGATGTCTGAGGGCCCAGGAGCAGCAGCCACCTCGTCTCCTCCCATTCCCACAGCTCCTGCCCCCAGGGACGGGGCTGAGGGAGGATGTTTACAGAGCGTAAACCTTCACATAGAGAAAGTCTGCTGCACCCCTGGGGGCTGGGAGCAGCGCTGCACAGGGGCTCGAAGGTGGGGACAGATGGGGCTCTGCTCTGTCCCAGTCCCTTGCAGCCTTCTGACTTCCAAAAGGGAAGCTGGGGGTGGGGGGGGCCTTTGACAGGGTGCATCGAGTTGAGCGTTCCTCCAAAGGCTCAAAAAGCATCATGGGCAGCGATGTGCTCTTTCTCAAAATTCAGAGGGCAGGACCTGTGAAGGGTTGAGGGCTGAAATCAGGGCGGGGGATGTGGGGAGGAAGTAGGGGCTTAGTGACGGCAGCGAGGCCCTAACGCGAAGACGGAAAGCTCGGAGAGGGGCCAGCAAGCCCTCATTCTAGATCTCAAGGAGAAGACCGGAGTCAGCGGTTCGCACTTCCCAGAGCCACAGCTCTTGGCAGGAGAGGCGGAATCGGGGCTTGTCCTCTGGGCAGTCTCCCACACCTCAGGGCCAGAAAAGGTGCAGCTTCCACCCAGGGCCCAGTGGGAGCTGGCTGGCAGGTGCGAGGGAGGTGTCTGCTGGGGTGGCTGGACCCCGCTCACCCCAATTCCCTCCTTCCTGAGCCCTCCTCTTCCAGGCTTTTCTGCTGGGCTCTAGGAAGGGGGTCAGCTAACTGTGCACACTGGGCTCCCCTCACTTGGGCTGCCTCTGAGGGTCACTGGGGAAGAAGGGAGGATTTGACTAAACGTGCCCCAGTAGGACTAAAAGTCCAAAAGCAGGAAGCACTTCCTGGCTCACCCAAGACCTTACCACGAGTGGCTGAGAAAACCCACATCTGGAGCTCCGGAAGAACAGGAGAGGCCTCTGTTGCCCAGACCCAGTGTGGGCACAGACCCGGTGTGGCTCCCTTGCCCAGACCCAGTGATAACATCCTACCCTCATGCTCCAAAAGGCTCTTGCATTTCACCAAGCTCTTCCCCACCCATTACCTCATCCAAGAGGGAGGCCACAGGGTTGGGGTTTTGACCACTTTGATGGCCTAGAGATCTAAAGCTCAGAGAGGCCCAGTGATCAACCCAACATCACAGAGCATTCCAGAGGCGGTGCTCCTGACCCCTCAGCCTCCTCTGATCGCCAGTGGATGACCAAGAACCTGAGATCACAGCGCATGCCCTCCCCCACAGCTCCTGAGAAATGCCTCAGCCCTGGGCTCCTAGGGACAAGTGGTCAGAACAAGCATGCCCCTGGCCAGGGCATTCCTGGCATCCAGTAAGGCAGGATGTGGGGCAAAGGTACCAGCAGATTTAGCTCCTAGAGAGGAAGGAGAGGCCCTTCCAGAGGAGGTGAAGACAGTCGCTGGCCAGGGGGACACAAGTCAGAGCCTTCACTTTCCGTGACCCTTGTGAGAGCTGAGAGACTAGATCGGAAGACTAAGCCCCCGACCTCAGAGCCCTGTTGGCTTGCCCAGGCTCAGCCATGGCTTGAAAAAGTCATCTCCAAGAGAGCCCATGGAGGGTGAAGCTGCTCCCCGCGGAGTACCTCCCCGTCCTTGGGCACCCCGGCTTCAATGTGGGCAAGGGCTCCAAAATGCTTTCACTCATTAGCAGTCCCTTCCCCTCAGCCCCAACCCCACCATCCCTTGTGCCCCAGCAGAGAACCTCCATCCCCCAGCAGCAAAAATATTCACCCCAGGCCTCCCGGTGGGCAGTGGGGGCCATGCTACTCCTAACTGTTGACCCTGACCCTAAGTGTACCATCACACCCTCTGTAATCTTCACTCTCTGCTGGGGTCTGTGCACAAAGTCACGGCCGCCACCCCAGGAGCTCATTGGCTGAGGGTCAGCCTCCTTTACCCTCCCCAGGGGCAGGGGGCTCCTTTGCCAGCATTCCTCTCCCCTTCGCCTTTGAAATTCCATGAGCCCAGTTAGGGCAGGGCAGAGGCGGACAAACAGGGACAGGAGGGAAGATAAACCAGAAGATGATGGAAACAGACCAGTAGAAGAGCGAGACAGGTGAATCAGTGAATAGACAGATGGACAGACAGGCGCACAGATATGTGGACAGGTCAACAGAAGGAGGGAAACAGACAAGGAAAAGGGCTGTCGGACAGTTAGGTGGAGAGATGAATGGACAGGCCAGTTCTCACACAGGTGGACAGTCAGTCTGGCGGAGGGACAGCCAGGCAGGCGGCAGAGCTGTCAGACAGTAGGTGGAGAAGCGCAGGGACCACCCAGGAGACCCCAAGAACAAAGGGTCCTTTTCTGGGGGCAGCAAGAAGGGATTAACAACAGCACATTTTCCAGGAACCGGAGGTCTCTAACCTGGAGTCCCGGAGCCAGGCCTGGCCCTTCAACTGATATCGGAGGGCCTCTCATGTTCCGTCTGGCCCAGGCCTTCCCCCAAGACGGAGCTCTGAGCTGCCAAAATTCACTCTTTACATCCAAGAGGGGTCAGTGTTTTTGAAAGTTGGAGGAGCCGGGGGTGGGGGGGGCTGGTTCACAGCGTCAGTGTTTCCAAACCAACCCCTCTCCTCTTTCTTTTTTCCCCTGGGCTGCCCAGAGCCAGGCCTGGTGAAGCGGCCAGCGAGCTGGGCAGGCTAGGCAGCCCGCTGCTGCTGCTGCTGGCAACTTGAAGGTGGAGGGGAGGCTGAGTTGAAGACTCAAGACAGACAGCACACAAGTGTCAGAGCTCAGGGGGCTCCCTGGGACCCCAAACACCTACAACGGGGAGCCCGCCCTGGGTTGGGGTGGAGACTTTCCCTGGAGAGGGTCATTTCCAAGGGGAGCCCAGGTGGGAGCCCAATGTAGTGACAGCTGGGGAGATGACAGAAGTGTGTGGGGGCCAAAGGGCCCCCTTTGTATGTGGGACACAGGGAGACAGAGGTGAGGATGAGGAAAGGGGAGCCCCACTGCGGTGGATCCAGATTGCAGAGAGGATGAAGCTGGCTGTGGGGAGCATCTGGGACAGAGGAGCAGGGGTTGGAGGTCAGGATGGAAATAAGGAGTTGAGGTGGGAGAGGTCAGAAGCGAGTCAAAGTAGGGGTCAAGGCTTGGAGACTGAGGGTGAGGGTCAGGCTGGGGCTATCAGTCATGTAACTCAGGCCTGAGGAAGAAAAGATGAGGGTCGGCCCTGGGGATGGGGAGCAGGAGGCGGAGCCAGGGCTCGGCGGCTGACCCAGGGTAGCCTAGGCTCCCGCAGGCGCTGCGGGAGGCGGGAGCACCCGGCTTGGCCAGGGGTGCGGGGTCGCAAACTCACATGAAGGCGTGGTAGACGAAGGCCCAGCCTCGGGGTCGTTCCAGCACGTTGTAGACCCAGTTCTGCAGGCGGCGGTAGCGCTTGTGAGCGGCGGAGGAGCGCTGGCCGCAGGCGGAGCCCGATCCGGAGCCCGGCCCCGGGAGGGGTGCACCCGGAGGCAGGGGGCTGCCCAGGAGGCCCAGGCGGCGCGGGGAGCCGCCCCCGCCCGCCTCGCCCTGCTCGCTTTGTACCGCCGTAAGAGCCACCAGCTCGGCGCGGGGGGCGTCTGCAGGCGGGGGGGCCAGGCCGAGGCGGCGCGGGGGGGCCTCGGCCATGGGCGGCGCCTGGCGTGGGGGCCGGGGCCCGGGGACAGTCCGGGGCGGGGGGCGCGCGCAGGGCGCTCAGCGGCACATGGCTCGGACCCGAGGCCGGCAGGGCGGCCCGGGGTGGGCGCAGGCGGCGGGGGCTAGGGTCCCGGCAGGGGCTGCGCCGGGGCGGGGGGCGGGCGCTCGGAACCTGGGGGCAGCCGGAGCCCGCTCTGACCGCCCGCTTCCCCGGCGACTGGGGCGGCTGTTTCCGACTCCAACTCTCTTATTACGCGCTCCATGCCGCTCGCCTTTCCACCTGCCCTGGCGCGCTGCTCACATGTCACCCTCCCCGCCCCGCCCCTCCCCCGCCCGCCCCCGCCCGCCCCGCGGCCGCCTTCCCAAATCGGGAGGGAGCGAGCGAGCTCGCGAGCCGGGCGGAGGGAGGGGACACGCGGCGGAGGCGGCGGGCCAGCGCGCACGGGCCGCCCAGTCGGTGCCCGGACCCGACCGCGTGGCGGCGGGCAAGGGGCGTGCACTGCCGCGAGGGGCTGTGTGGCCCCGCAGGCCGGGCTGGAACGCCGACTGTGTGCTAGTGGATAGCGGGGCGCGGAGTGCGGAGTTGTTGCCGCGGTTGCAGACGGGACACGCGTGCCGTGGAGTTTGGGTGCGAGTGGATGCAGAAGTGTCTGCGTGTGTCCAGGGGCGGTGGCTAGGGGTCTGCCAGGTGGTGGGACTGAGTCCGTGGAAGTGCGTGTTGTGGGTCCCGGGTAAATGGGTGTGAAGAAGGACGTGTAGGTCCGACCGTCTGGGTGTTGGCGGTGCAAGAGGTGAGGTGTGCCCCTCGGGTTGTGCCCAGTACGCGCCGTGCAGGTTGTGTTGTGCGAAGTGTGCCGGCGCACCGTGTGGCTAGGAGAGCAGCTCCTGCCTGCGAAGCCTGACGCCCCAGCGCTGCGGAGTTGGGTCGGAGTGTGTAGCACGTGGGCCCCAGGTGTGCCCGTTTTCCTTCCCACCCACCCCCACTGAACTTCCCTTCTTCAGGGTGGGGGAGGAGCCCCCAGGGAGGGAGGCCACTCGGCCCCAAAGAAGAGTCTCCTCTGATCCAGGTTCAGTCTGAAATGCTCCGTTGGCTTGACCCCAGGTCGGGGAACCAGGGGCAGGGCACAGGGGTGCAGGGAGGTGAGCTCGGAGGCAGCGTTCGGGCTGGACAACCCCGTGCCCAGAGGCCCCAAGAATCCCACCCAGACACCGCGAGGCTTTCCACCACCGCGCTCCCCCTCCAGCTGGAAAGTTCTCAGTGCCTGGCCTCGTCTCTCTAGCTTGTAGTGCAGGGGCGGCCCTTTCGTTCTCATGAGCTCTCTCCGGCCAGCACGGGGCGGTGATTCGGGGTTCCCCATCCCCATGCCCTCTTCCCCTGTGGAAGCTTGGTCCACACCAGCCGCTCCCTCCGCAGGCCCTGCCCCAAGGTGAAGCGCTTTCGCAGCAAACTCTTCCCGTTCCTTCGGGAGGATCTCGGGGGACCAAGCAGCCGAGCGGGAGGGGCGGGAGAGGGGGCGGGAAGGCGAGCTCGATTCTCAGCTGTCAGCAAAGGCAGCATTGATCTGCTGAGCGCCAGTGGGGGAGGGAGGCAGGCGGAGCTGCGGGCGAGCAGGGGGGGGGGCTTCAGGGACCTGGGGGGGGGGGCCAAGCCGGGCTTGGCAGCCTGCGCACACCCCTTCACCCTTTCCCTCTGCACAGCAGGGGGCGCCTTCTGGGGTCCGACCAGAATCTCGCCAGTTGCTTCTGGCTCCGGGTGGGCCCAGGGCCAGAGTCAGAGGCCCTTGGGCAGGTTATGCCCCGCCCTCCCTGGGTAACTGGGGAGGGTTTCTGCCCCCCAGGGCCCTGCTATGGATGCAGCACCCCAGCTGGGCTAACCGTCCTCTCCGTGTGTGCTGAAGCCAGCACCCCCTGGACACCGGGCACGGCTCTGCCAGACCCTCATCTGCCTGAACCTGTCTGCCCCAACCTCATCGGTCAGGGGCCCTGGGGGTGGGACTAAGGTCTGGGGACCTGAGTGGTGGAAAGGAAAGCTATGACAAAGGACCTGGGGATGTTTCTTGGGGTCTTTCCGGGCCCTTCTTCTATGGCGGACATGAAACCCAGGTTGCCCTTGTTAGCCCCCGGAATATCTGAAATTAGGTCTGTTCTGGGAAATACGATCCTCAAGCTCAGTATCGCCTCTGGACCCCGCACCCCCCTTCCCCTTTGGGAAAGTGCAAAAGTCCTTTCCACTCCTTGGGAGGAACCCTCACTGTGGGGAGTGGGTCTGTCATCATCTTCCCCAACTCCAGCTCCAGATTACCCCACCAAAGGCAACAGGAGGCGGCAAGAGATTGTGTCTGCAACTAGGATGGAAGTTCGATCTCAGGAAGGACTATGAAGAGGGCACAGAGGCCTGTTCTCCTGTAGGTTGTGTGTGATAGAGGGTCGGGCCCTCTCCTTTTTACAGTGAAGGCACGTGGAACTCTTCCTAAGGGGTGAGGGATGAGGAAGATGGGTCTAGGAGTCTATAAGCAAAGTTTAATGGGAGTGTGTGTGTGTGTGTGTGTGTGTGTGTGTGTGTGTGTGTAAGAGAGAGAGGAGAACCAGAGGAGCAAGTTTGGTTCTGAGAAGACAGGTGGCCACTCTGAGGGTCACCTGGCTGCCTCCCTGCCCCCATCTGGATTCCCAAGACATGACTGGGAGAATGGATTTCCCCACCACAGCCTTGAGTGACAAAGGCGCTGTTCTGGGCAAACACCTGTCTTAGGCTTTCTCGGTCAGCCTCTCCGCTGCAGGGAGCGGGGGAGGGGTGCTGTGGTTTTCCCGCCCTCCGCTGCCCTTTCTTCCCACTGCTCCCTTCACCCCCTCCTCAGCAGCTTCCTTCGCACCCCAACTCTGGTTGTCTCCCTGCTAACATTGCCAGAATATCCTACCCTGCCCAGACTCGATCATTGTCCCACCTGGGCAAATCCGCCCCCTGGCTCTGGGCTCCAGTTTCCCTCTCTGTACCACAGGAAGAGGGCAGGGCCCCAGGATCTCCTGCAATTTGTCACTGTCACCATCATCCATCAATGGAGCAAGTATTGATTGAGAAGAAGAGTGGGGAGGGAGAGGGCTTCCCATTTGCAGGACACCAACTAAGTACTAGGTCCTTGTGGGACCTAGAACAGCCCTTTGCACGAAAGAAAGCTGAGGACAAGAGGTAAGGGGACTCATGTAAAGACACAGCAGGCAGGGGGTGAGCCTAGAACTGTCTGTGGCCAGTCCACTCCCCCAGCTGGCACCTTCCTCCTGTGCATGTGAGCCTGGGACCAGTGCTGTGGGCCAAGGGACCCCAGATGGCCTGGTCCTTGTTCTCCAGGGCTCACTCCTCTGAGAGGGTCAAGGGGTCGGCAAGTGCCTGGGACCAGGGGCCAGGTTCAAGCCTGTCATTGACTCCCAGTATGACCTCAGGTCAGGCCAGGGCTTTCTAGGAGTGGGAAAGAATGATTTAAGTGAACAATTTTCATACTCTGTTAGCAAAGGAATCCTTGTTACAGACAGAGTCATAAGGTAGCACCCCAACATGTAAAAAGCATTCAGTCAGAAGTGCTGTGGTTAAACTGGGGTGAGCAGGTCAGGGTTCCACCCACAAGCTTCCTCCTCCTCCCTCCCCAGAAACCCCCTGGGTTTTCTTACAGCTCTTGGGGTTGCTAGAGGTCAGAGGAGGCAGACATCTGCACAGGCAATGGCAGAGGGACCTGCTGGGGTGGGCCAGAGGTGGGTGGGGCTTGGGGAGGAATAGAGAAGCACAAGTACCTGCAGCCCCCACTGATAAGGCCCAGGCTAAATACTAAGCCTCACACAGGGGGCTTTGTCTGCATTGTCTATTTCACTGTCCCAACAGCGCTGAGGTGACACTGTTCACACCCATTTTACAGGCAAGAAGACTGAGGCTTATTGAGGAGACTTGTCTGGTACAGCCCTTTACCCCTGTGCTGCAGTGTGTGTGCACATGAGCTCATGGGCAGGGTGGGTGTGGGATGGGAGGATGTTGTAGAGGAAGCAGCGGACACAGGGGGTCTTGAATGCTAGGCTGAAGGGTTCAGTTGGGCCTGATAGAAACCAGGGAGCTTGGCCAGGGCCTGAGCCTGCGCATGCCCTGGAGGCTGACACCCTACAGGACAGAGCTCAGTGGGGCGGAGAGGGAGCCAGCTTCCAGGGAGGTTGGCAATGTCAGGGGCAGAAAGAGCAGAGCGCTGAGCTACATGTCATGGCTGCACTGCCTGGCTCCACCGCCTGGCTCCACCGCCTGGCTCCACCCTGGACCAGCTGGTCACTCCACCTCTGCCCCACCTTCGCAGCTGATAGGAGGACTGAAAGCAATAATGTGTGAACAGTCGAGGCCATGCTGGGAGCTGTGCAAATGCAAACCATTGATCCTACTGCTCTTCATTGGATGGAGAGGGGAGATGCTGCGAGAACCCCCCAGTCCTGCAGCTCTTCTAAGCTGGAGGGGGGATCAGAGTGGAGGGTGTTTGTGAAGTGACGGCATCACATGCATTACTCACCCCCAGGGACCCACCGCCACTGAGAGCAGAGGAAGTGTGAGAGAAAGACCAGGCCTGCTTCCTTTTCCCAAGGAGGCCTGAGTGGGCAAGAGAATTAGGCCAGCCAGCAGGGGAGAGGTGCTGGAGGGGGGCCCCAGAGGGTTTCTTTCCCCGTGGATCTGGACGTGCCACTGAGCTGTCCCCAGCCCCGACCATGCCCGCTGGCTGGGACAGTCATCAGTGTCACTGGCCAAGAAGTAGTGAACCCCACTGACCCTCGGGGCTGGAGGAGGACCCACAATCAGGATACACTGAAGGAGGAGGGGGTGTGGAAATGAAGGTCAAAGCCACGCCTTCTTGCACTGCTCCTCCTCTGCCTTCGGGGTTCTTCCATCTTGACCCCAACCCCTGGAAGACCATGTTGAAGGCCATGTCCTGCGGTCCTGCCGGAAGGCTCCGTATTCCCAGCGACAGCCACTG